GCACAAATAAGATCGTTTAGTAATGATGCTCGTGCATCATGATCACTTCCAACGTTTCCGGTCGGAGTCTTCAAGGCACCTGGATTTCAAACACGTTCAAAGTGTTGCGATAAATTCTGTATTATTGACCAATTCAAGCATGGCCGGGACTGGCGGACAGACGGTGAACGGATGGACGTGTTGTAATACAGTGATTCTGAGCTTGCTCTGACGTTTAATTTATTTTCAGCGTGGAGGACATTCTCATGGCAGTGGAACGAAACCACGGAGGGAATCGGGTACGTCCTAAAAAAAAAATACGGCGTACGAAGTTGCGTATCTTTTATCATCTTGTCACATGCCCTAACTCAGTGTCTCAGCGAATGTGTAAAATTCCTTCATCGAAATTGACGTACCCTCCCTTGCACCCGTCTCTGCTCCCCAGCCCCACAGCCGAGTCACTCTGGCGGTGCCCTCCGACTCCGACTCCGACTCCGAGTCGCCCCAGGCCACGACGAGGGGCGGGGCAGTGCCATCCCTCCGTCTGCCGTCTGCGCATGCGCGAATCGGTCACCTGGAGCGGCGACTGGCGAATCTGAGTGACGAGCTGAGTAGTCAGAGAGTGGACACGGAGAGGCTGCTGCAGCGGGTGCTGGAGCGGCTGCCGCCCCCAGCCGCAGCACAGCACGGGCTCAACGGAGCCCCAGCCGCCGCGCAGCACGGTTCTAACGGGTTTGCAGTAGGCCTCGCGACGCCCGATCGCTCCCGAAGCAGAGCGCTCAGTAGGGAGAATGGCGGTGAGGAAAACGGGTAGAGGATCGGAGCGGAGAGAGAAGTGGAGTGGAGAGAGGAGTGGAGTGGAGTGGAGTGGAGAGAGGAGTTGTGTGGTAGCCTGGTGTGCCTGTCAAGTTAGGAGTGCTGACCGAACTACATATGTTAGTGCATTTGTACCGGTGATATTTGGTGATAAGTGTTATGCTGTTGACTGTCACTGTGCGATGCCAGCGACGTTGGAAGACGCATGCAAACGGAAGTTACCTTGAAATAGCAGTACGCTGTGTAATATATGTAAGTACATCGTGCAATAGCTGGATCTTGCCTTTCGGAGACCCTTTTCGATCAGTTATATTTTTATACATGTTGTTTGAGGTGATATTTGTATTTATTTATTCGTTTACTTGTTTATTAGTGCCCTTTTATGTTGCGAACGATGAGTTGAATCAGAAATACACATATTCAGTTCAGTCCAAACTGCTATTTTTTCGTTATTTGAAATGTTCTCAGTCTGACGCTAAAGGGAACTATGGAGCACATTGATCTGGGCCGCCACCATGGTGCAGTGTCGCGGCTTATTCCCGTGAGGAAGAGTGAAGACCACCCAGCCACGCTACGGCTACTTGCTTACGGTCACTCTGCTCACCGTTCTGTGCTTCTATCCTCAGGATACAGAAATCCTTCTCCTCCACGCCGCAACCCCCCTCCGGGCTGGACAGGCACCTTTATCTCATGCGGGCTGCTCCCTTGGAGCGGCACCGCTGCTCCCGAGGGAGCGCACCCCGTAGCCGGGTGCAGTGAGTGCCTTGGGACTGGATGGCCTGTCCTCTGGACGGGCTCAGCCCCGGTGACTCACTAGGGTGCCTGCCCAGACCAATGTCTCCCCCTTTATCTTATCATCCTCCCGGCTCTGAAATGGTCTTGCCAGACCGAAAGGGCCTAACCCAACAAAACAAACAAACAAACAAATCACTCTACCGCACGTAGGTTATCGCGCTCCGTGCAGCTACTCACATATCATGACAGTGACTGTCCACTTGTCCGGCTCGAAACTGACGGTTTGATTGAGGTTACTGAGGAAAAAGCTTTTTGCGTCCTGAGGATGAGAGGGGTCGGAGGTGCAGTAAGGACGCAGCCAAGGGAAAGGCTGCGTACGAGGCTGTGAACTGTGAAGAGAGGCGCTACACGCTTTACGTCTTCGCAGGTTGAGGCGACTGTGACTGTGTAGGCTCCTGGCTCAATGCTGGCTCAATGGATCTGCTGGAGGCTAGCGACATCTATACAACTTGTACAGCGACACCTAGGGGCTAAATTGAACTTATTTGGGGCCCCAAAGCAAAGAGGAATAAAACCCGCGGCTGGAGGCTGGAGCGCGCGCTAAAACACGTTGTTTGTCAATATTTGTCACGTCGCATTTGCATAAGCTCTTCGGTTCGTCTCCAAGCCCCTTTTCAGCTTGATTTGAACTGAAATGCAAAAGGTTAGTAAGAAAATACGTGTATTTACAATTAACCGTAAGATAGATCAAGATAGGTTTTGTAATTGTGAATCATGGGAAACGTTGTAAAGGGATTAGGCGGGTAGGTCAAAGTATCCTTGCTTACGATTGTTAGTGTCTTGATTGTGTGTCAACCTTGTTGAAAAAAAATCAGCATCAACTTGTAAGTAAATTCAATAGCAAAATAAAATAAAAAAATAGGTTAAAAAGGTAAAAGTCTAGTGCCTTAAATGCATTCTGATTCATTCATCAATTAGCTCAGTAGGCGGAACTATGGTCATGAGTACCCAAATATAGGAACGTTCCCATTTTTGGGAACGGAGTTCCCAAATATGGGAACGGGCGTTCCCATTTATGAGAACGGAAGGCAATTTTTCGGCCGTTCTCCCACTAAAACTCAAAAGTGCATCACGTCTCAAAAAAGTGCACGCTGATTTAAGTGTCTACTAAATCTCCATAAAGTTATCTTTAATCTGACCGTGGAACAAGGAAATTGACCGTGGAATGATATTTTTAATGATTTTTTGAAAATGACAGAATGGTGGAAATATGGGTTATACGACACTTAACATGCAATTTTAAGGAAAATGAAGCATTTTTCAGTTTGAGGTAAAGTATAATAATTTTCGCCTGGTTATGAACTTTCATACTATCGACACCAGATGCTGACAAATGCAAGCGAAGACGCGGACGGTCCCGAGGTAATATTGTTGACTTTTGTGTCGGGGCGGACGACCGCGTGGAACGTGAGCGAATTTACCGAGCTACTGTTGTAAACTCAGTTTAAGCGGTTGAAAATTATCCAGCTGTATTTTATCATCCCGGAAAGACATATTTTATTTGGATGCTAGCTGTTTAGAGTTGTTTTATAAGGAGCGTCATGAGCGTGGTTTTTGTCTTCCGTGTTTCTAAGCGTGATCGTTTTGGGGGAATTTCTCTTATATAGCTCGCTCTTTGTGCCTTATTTATAATTTTTATGCTGATTTCGATAATTCCTCGTGCCCATCCTACCAGGCCTTTTGCCACTTACACTCATCAAGAAAGGAAAAAACTAGATTTTCATTGGGACTAGGTGTTTTGAGGGTGTAACATATTCAGCGTTCCCATTTTTGGATACTTCCTTGTACTCGTCAACTATCGGTGATAAACAGACAGGTGCTTGACATGTCTCCACCCTCAGCGCGGACGGTGGATATAGGTATGGAAGACCTTGTTGAACATCGCTGAGCGTTGTGAATTACGTAATCCTGCAGAGGGGGGCGTGCCCGCTGCGAGATCGACGGGAATAAAAGCGCAGAAGACCGGGCGAAACATGCGACGGTCTTGCCGGAAAGGTCATCTGATGATTGTTGCGTTAACAATAATTTGCGGCGTTGGACGTGATGCTTGTTAATGAAAAGAGCCCCTGAAAGGCGTCGGTGAAATCGTTCCCAATTTTGGGTACGCCGTTCCCATAATAAGGAACGCTTGCAGCGCCAGTGTACGAGAGCGTTCCCAAATTTGGGCTCGCGGCCCGGATGATGGACTGCTTTAGAAATAGGGGAACGATTTGAAACTACGATGGGCCTTACAATATCAAACTCTTTCCCAACAATATTGAGACAAATATCAGGCGGTTCACGATCGTTTTATATTTTTTGGACGTCATTTAACGGTTCTTTTTCTTGTTTTAAATAATGCCTACATGGCGTTCCCATATTTGGGTTTATCGTTCCCAAACATGGGAACGAAAATGCGTTCCCGAAAATGGGTACGCTTGACCATAGTTCCGCCTACTGAGCTTCGTCTAACTTGCATTGATATTTCGTTCACTCGATGGTTAACGTAATAGATGCAGTGAATTGTTTACGCTCCCATTTGGTAATATCTAGCTGACCATGTTCATAAATTTTAATAGCCATGATAATATGTTGTAGGTATTCATTGTACCGTGATTACCATGCCATCAATGTTTGTATAGGGTTTAACTGTTATCATGTCTTTTTATGCTTTCAGATTTAAAAAAGAACCAATTCAGCCATTCTGCTTGAGCATCTCTGCATTTGATTTGAGCATTCTCTATTGCCAACAATCATGGGTAAAGGCATCAATAAAGTAAGTCCTCAATTATCTTAAATGTCTGCATATTGCTAATAATGTGTTGAAGCTGAGTGAAACAGATACTACATTTACAACCACTTACTTTGTTAACCCCCATTCACTCACTATTTTTTACCTACCTATTTTCTTTATGCTTTATTTGTTTAGTTTGTTCACTGACCTTTCCTAGCCTGAAGTTCTTTGAATGATTAAGAATCCAATTTGAGTGATTCTACAACTACATGGTCATACGCTGCCCACTCGTTGAGGCTCTCTTCCAAAACCAGCAAAGCCAAGGCAAAAGGTGACATTTTCTCATGCAGCTTACCAATATTGCACATGTTTATTGAGGTCAAAAGAGTTCTGATAAGCATGCTTAGTGCCTACCAGGTGCTTGGTACCTGGAGGATAACACTAATTGATATTGCCTTGGTACTGGTAAATTGAGCTTTTATCAGCTGGTTTTGGAACTTGCTGATGCTATGAACATGTTTGCTGAAGACATCAGGCATCTGCCTTGAATATTTTATTTAGTCTTTTGACTGACATGATCCAAATGTGATCATTCATTTTACTATTCCAAAATAATTGTTCATGGCTTATATGTTTCTTTAATTGCTACATTTATAGTCATGTTTAGATACATGGTGAGTGTTAACTAAACAGTTTCCACATGGATCAATGTATTTATCCAATTCATTGGTCGCTTGTCAATGACTGAGCTGGTACATTGACCAACATAACAAATAACAGCAAATAAATTCACATCTAGTGTGACTCCCCTGCGTCATCTCTGTCACCATCTTGCTTCCTCCCTGTGCTGTTCTCGGACCTCAACTCGCATCATCTCGCCCTCCATCGCTCCGACTCTCAGAGGCACTTGGTGACGATCGACGTGACGGGGAAGGCGCGTCGGGAGCCGAGCACCTGATCTCGGTCGATGAGCAGGGAGTTGGCCTTCACTCGCAACTCGTCCTCCATTTTGGCCTTCTGCTGGAGGAGGCCGGCCAGCGCCGTCTCCAGCTCGGACAGCTGACGCTGCAGCACGTGCACGCTGTCGCCGATCTCCCGCACCTCCCCCTGCAGTCTGTCCATGGCCGGGTCCCGGCACAGCTCCAGTCCGGGCCGGTGGGTACGCCGCTCCAGCCGGGTGTGCGCCACACGCAGGTGGGGCGTCTGGGCGGCCAGCGCGCGCCGCAGCGCCGCCCGGTGCCGCTCCTGCTCGGCGATCTCCTGAGTCAGACGACTGAGCTCCTGCTGGATCCGGTTCCGCGCCTCCTGGGTCTGCTGCGCGCGCGCCGCCAGCGCCTGGTTCGTGGACGTCCACGCCTGCCAGTGCTCGCTGACTGCGCCGTGGGTGACTGACTCCACCTCCGCGCGCACGGCGGCGCTGTTGGCGCGGGCCGTCTGCGACTGCTGTACTAGACGCCGCGTGTGCTCCTCCCAGGAGTCAGGATTGCTCTGAGTGCGGTCCCAGCGTTCGATACCCGGGTAGAGCGCCGTGCCTGGTGAGGCATTTCCAAGCCCATGCGCGTTCCGGTCCAGGTGGAGCGCTGCAAACTTATCGGACGCGTCTCGTTCGAGCTGACGACGAGTCTCACGCAGCTCCTGGAGCGACCCGGACACGTGATCAAGTGTACGGCACAGCCGCTCGCGCATAGCCACCAGCACACCGGCCTCGCGCTCGAGACCCGCCTCCACCGGGTCGTGCACTAGGTCAGGGCCGGTGCGCAGCTGCCGGGCGCGCCGGTTGTCCTCGGCGAGCCTCAGCGGCGCCGCCAGCTCGTTGTGGAGACACTCGGCACGTCGGCGGGCCTCCTCGAGCCGCTCAGTCTCCTGCGAGTTCAGCTCCAGCTCGTGCAGCACCTCGTGACGCCAGCGGCCGACGGCGCCGGCGCGCTCGGCCAGCCGCTGCGTGCTCTCACGCTGCGCCTGCGCCGCCGCGCGGTCTGCGTCCCGGATAGCCCTCTGCGCGGCACAGCGGGCCTGGGCACCGGCGGCGCGCTGGCGGTCGCATGTCGTCAGGTTGTCGTGGTTGGTCTGATGCCAGTCTGCCACTGTGTACTGGCTCAATGGCGCCGTTCCGGCCACTAGCGGCAGTGATGGGAAGTCGAGGTTCGCCGGGCGGCCGCCGCCGGCGCTACGGCAGCACTGGCAGCCGCCGGTCACGTCGCTGGTGTGGTGGAAGAGCGCGCTCATGGCGGGACGGTGGCAGGGAACCGACTGAGGCCGCCCAGCCGGTTCCGAGCCGCGCAGACTGCTGGCGGGGTGACGGTATTGACCAAACACCGGCCGACCGTGTTTTCTGACAGAGGACAGCGCGGGCAGCCGCCTCCTACTATTCCAACCTTGCAGCAGTCGCGTGCCGTGCGGGGCTAATGGTTTCGAGTAGCAATCTGCCGTGACGTGCGACCTATTTCCCAGGGCCAGGGAAATCGCGTGTCCCGTCCCAAAGGCATGCCTGCGTTGGAATGTTTGTGGTGAACGAATCGTAATTAACTTGTCCTATTGGAACTGTAAATAACGGCGGATTTGGAACTTGGGACTTTGACTTTGAATTTGTTGGATAGGTTTTACTGTGGTCGTTTTAGAATAATAACTCATTCGAAAAATAATGACGCATTTAATGCAGTTTACTGTTGAGATATACCCATAAATTGCTTCCGTATGAATCATGACCTATCCAATGTCTTTGCTTTTTTGCATTATTTCCAACAATGAGCTTATAAATGTTTCGTTTGTTTCAGCTGTCAAAGTCGCAGAAAAGTGTGCCGCCGAAATCGCAGACCCGGATTTCGGCGTTTTTCGGACGGGCTCCGGCCGCGCCCGCCACTGCGGCGCCCGACGTCATCACCCACTCCGCCGGAGCGGTGCGTCGCTCCCCACGAAAAAGACCTGCTCCCGATGGCGTCATTAGTGTCGCGAAGCCGCTCAGCACCTCTCAGGCTGTGCCCGCCCCGCCGTGTGTGATAGATCTGGACGATTCTTGCGAGGTGATTCCGAACAACATGGGGAGAAACGATGCAGGGTCGGAGAAGGAGAACTGTTTGACTTGTATTTCTGACTGGACTAGTGCGACTGAGAAGGGCTTAGATTCTGGTGCTGGTGCCGGTGTAGGATATGCCCCCAGTGATGATAAGGGTTTCGACAGTGGTGCTGACGTACTCGGTGATGCAGACGAACTCGCTGTTCCTGATGGAACTCGGCTAGTACAGAGACTAACCAAAAGACCCAGAAATGAGCCGGATGTGTCCCCAGATAGAAAACGATCGAACGTGACGTCATCCACCGCTGCGGACAGCGTTAGAAACCCTTCTGCCGCGGTAAGCCACCTGAGAAGATCTCCGAGGAAGCTGAACGGACCTGCGAAGTCGCTCACGATGACCAACATTCCTCGGAGGTCGCCAAGAAAACCACTAACCCGTTTACCCGGAGAGACAGCGCCCAGAAAAGGGCGAGACGCGGTCTCTGTGGATCTCGAGCGCGCACTGCTGGCCGGCGAGGCAGCCGCCGGCGTTTCGGCGATCAAAGTGAGCCCGAATGCGAGGACTTCGGCCGGACAGATAGCCAGCGACGAGCAACCGCACGGCAATGATATCAAATGCGAGATAGGTACGAATGCAGTGAGTAAACTGCAGTCTGCAAGTGTCACGGCCACCGTGGCAGTGAATGGCAATACGCACGGGTCAGGTGAAAGGACAGAGGTGCGGACGGGTAATGAAGGCTCCGGGCCGGTGAAGGCAGAGGATGCGTGCTGTGAGGTGGCGGTGGCGGTGATCACGCCCCAGAAGAGGCCGCCCTGTCGCACTCCGGAGCCAGAGGAAGCGTCCGCTCTGCTGTTCGACTCGATGGCCGACCTCTTCTCGTCACCGTTCAAGGAGGAAGGAGACTGCAGGTCAGTCCTTGGTGTACACCAATGTCATCACTTAGCCTAGCCCTCGTGTCTGTCGTGGCGTGTCCGCAGCGGACACTGACTCCTTTCCTCCATGTAGGGGTGTTATTCCCTTTGGCCGTGCATTATCTACCTAAAACAGTTTTTGGAGTTCTTTTTTATTTTCCTTCCGAGCCACTAGAAGCTTTGGCCTAGACTTGGGAGGCATCCTCGCTACGCCTCCCAAAACGTTCGTCACAGGTTGTTATCAGTCTTAACAAAGCTGTGCAACACAACATTCTGTTTGCTGCCATGTTTGGCTTTTTATTGTTTGGCCTGTTTTTGGCGTTAGGTCTATTTCATTCGAAGCCAACGGTCGGTACATACGTCGGTCGGTGTAGAGGCGATATTTAATGACAACGGGACTGAAACATTATTTTTCCACTTACTGAAACTTTATCGGGATGATACATTCTGCCTTGACGGCAGATAATTAACACGCGCACCGACGGGGGGGGGGGGCGAATATCCGCCCCCCCCTGAGGTTTTTCGCGAATAGCGGGAAAACGTAGCGCCGCGAAATTTGGTACGACTATTCCCTCATCAATTTTACACATGGTATGCATGTTTGAACATCCTAACTTTTAAGGTCAGGTCACCAGGTCACTTTGAATGACCCAACCTCAAGTCACGTTTTTGCAACTTTGTCACCGTGCCAGAGCTACAGTAGATGTCGGAGGCCTTTGAAAGTCGCAGGATGTTATGAGGTCATTAGTAGCTACAATTTGTATATCTCGGAATTTTGATATCGGTGACCTAAGGTCAGGTCAATTTCGCGACCTCCCCATTATAAGTCAATGGGGGAAAAATCAACTCCCTGTTTTTACCACTAAACTAAAGGGGGTCGGAATGGCCCCATATACCATACATGACTTCATATACGATCAACCTTTACTACCTTGAGGTCAGTTTTGCTGTTGGGCAGCTGTAAGGTCATGTGACGTCATCAAAGGTCACCAAAGGTTTTTTGCCAATAACTCCGTGCAGGAACAAGATACAGCCACGCGGATGGTCTCATTGTGTTCAGCTCGTCAAGACGCATCGAATGATATACATGATTACCTCGAGGTCACGTGACCTGAGGTCCAGGGCTGCGGAGTCGATGGATTTTCGGCGACTCCGACTCCGACTCCGACTCCGGCTTTCAAAAACCAGCTCCGACTCCGACTCCGACTCCGGGCAGAATTGTCGACTTCGACCGACTCCAACTCCCGACTCCGACTCCGCAAACCTAGCAGGGCTGCGGAGTCGACAGATTTTCGGTGACTCCGACTCCGACTCCGGCTCGGGTTTCTAAAATCGACTCCGACTCCGACTCCGGTCACAGCTGTCGACTCCGACCGACTCCGACTCCGACTCCGACTCCGACTCCGCAGCCCTGCTGAGGTCAACCTTTGACCTTGACCTTTCGAGGTCAACTCATATAGCATTCGATGCGGATTGACGAGAGGATCACGATGGTGCCCTTAGTTTGTTGCTATCTTGACTAGTTCGAAAGTTATTCGAGAAAAACTCTCCATACCTAGTGCCGCCATTTTGACTTTTTCGACCCCTGTGAGTTGTGACGTCATCTTTGACCTGACCTGAAAATGAACTTTGTAAAAATTGTAGACCTTGACCGTGCGTATCCGATGCCGTTTACCGCTTGTCGCTATCTTGCTTCGTTCTCGGGATCTCAGGGGGGGGGGGCGGTCATCCGCCCCCCCCCCCGTCGGTACGAAGTTGGCGCAGACCCCCGTCGGTGCGCGGGTTAATGGTCTACGGGTCCCCGATATTGGTGTGCTGGATGGAATGCTGACAATTGTGCAGTATCGAAGCTCCCTCACGGAAAACGGTCAGGCCAATAATTGGAGACCAAGTTGACCGCCGGTTTTGGTGTTTGGACCAGTACCAACCGAGCAGCGACATAACCATTGATCAGAATTACAGCTGCCCAGGTGAACGGGGCGCCATGAGCCAAGTCTCATTGTGTGACCGTGATGTCGATGGTCAGTAACAAAATATCTTATCAAGTCAAAATTTGTTGAAAATTGCACATTTCGTTTTGCTTCAAACTTACTTAGCCATAACAATGGATAAAAGAAGCTGACCATCGGCGTTCCATATTTTAAAACAATACCAGCAAGTCGGCCGAGGATCACTAATTTAAATTCCCAGAGACCTGAAAATAGCATATGCCCGTAACGGCTATCTCTTTTTATAGATTAATTGTTAGACTGTAGAGGCAACCTAAGAGCTTTGCGTTTTCGGTTTTTATTTTCTGTAAGTATTTGTGATGGTGGTTGTTATTGCCCACGATGGAAACAGAGTCCACGTGGTCTGTGACAACGCTTATCAGTTCATTGACTTGGTCACTGACTGCCAGAAAGTATCGTGAAGAGCGCGAGATAAACTTTTCTCCTGGGTGCGGGCACCACAACGTATTTTCCAGCTGTCCTTTTGCCGCCTCGGCCGGACTCGTTTTACCGTGCCGTCGCTAAAAAATATCAGTCGATCTGTTCAGTAACGCCTCTGTGTTCTTCGTCCTACACTCGCACCGTGTCTGGCCTAACCGGAACGGTGGCAATAGGTATTCCTTTCATAGTTTATACTGAATCGACTCGGAGTTGCTTTGTCCCGCTGGCCAGGCGACCGAACTTCATTTTGGAAGCCGTGACAGCGGCCGCTGCAGAGCGGCTGTCAGAGAGACGACATCTTTCAGCCACCGCTATAAGTAGGCATAGTATAATATAGTCAGCGGTTGGGTCTTGAAACTGTCTTGTTGAGTCTTGAGTCATGTAACACTGATTTATTTACGTTGTCTTTTCTGACTACCAGACATGTGCATGGATCCGGGAAAATGGGTCTGAGATCTGATCCCACGGATTCTGATCTCGTATCCGATGGGATCATAGATCCAGCTCTGTAATTTATCGAAAGATCCGTAGGGATCACAGATCCGAGTCTCATTTTTTGCTTGAGATCCAGTGAGATCATAGTACCTCACTTATTTTTTGTCAACACATATTGATATATCCCTATAAAGCACTTGTTTCAACTCAAACGTTCTGTTTTAGTGATTTTATGTGATCGCACGTCATAATCCATAGTTTTGTGTCACTTATTGGCATAGAAACCCTTTAAAACATGGTTTCAAATGTGGTGCATGGTGGGATCCACTCAGATCATAGATCCATGTTCTTAATTTATCGTCAGATCATATGAGATCATAGATCCAAGATGTATTTTTCACGCCGGATCCGGTGGGATCATAGATCCCAACCTGTACTTTGCTTCGAGATCCACTGAGATCATAGATCCATCACTCGGATCCATGCACATGTCTGCTGACTACTGCCGTTTATGCTGCCCGTCGATGCGACACCCAAGACCCCGCTCACGTTTTCGCCTTGTCCCGCGTTCTCCTTCCCTTCCTCACCTGTGCTATCATTGTGAAGTGGCTGTGGTTAATCCTTACCAGTTGTTATCTTCGATTTCATTACTCGTTGATTGTATGATGCGTTTTTTTTCAAAGCCGACGAATGTTAAAAAGAGCCGTTATTTTTATGAATTTGACCTTCTCTCAGTCCTAGCGCGAAAGGCGGCTATCTTCTGTCATAGACTACTGTATTTCTGTACTACTGATATGGAGTAGGTAGTCTATGCTTCTGTTTTTGTCCAAAACTTGGAAATTCCTTTCAAAGCCCTTGCATGCCATTAAGCCACTACCATTACCATTAAAATGTGATC